ACTGTGATGGACGTTCGCGCGCTTATACGCATATGGCCGATGCACTCACAATAGTGAAAAATTGTTTTTGAACTTGAATATTAACTTCTGAGTCCCTTGCTCTTTTTGTTTTGTGAAAAAATCACTTGCGATAAAATCTTTTACACAAAACTTGAACACTTTGCTGACACATAAATAAGTGCAAGAAACTCAACCACGTATCTTTGTTGTAATAAGCTGCGTGCTGGTTGCATAGATTAAGTGCTGGTGGTTTGTGGTAATTAAAAGGCAGGAACTGTGAGGTAAGTTCTTAGTGGCAAATTGCTTTGGCTCTGGAACTGTGGAAACTTAAAGTTGGTTTATGTATCTCAATTCCAGGGTAGACTGTATTGTAGGCGCTCGTTGTTGCTTTAACGGCGTAGATGAACCAATGTTTACTGCGGAGACACGTCGCACGGAGTTGAGTGCTCGTACGTAAATTATCATGTAAAGAGAAGACAAGGATTCAAAGTGTTAATAATTAATAAGTGGTCCCTGATCTTTATTTTGTATTTAAATGATTGTGTACAACGTTACAAAGCGTACTTGATGCTCTCACCTCAGTGTGGCGTGGTAGCTGGTGAACAGGTTGAAAGTTCTCGGAGAAGTGAATTTAGATATATTTTCAAACTCCGTTGTACCCGCCGAACCATGTACTTAGGTTCAATTTCCCCTCAACACAGTTATTAAGCGGCGGGGTACATATGTATATTAGCGTGAGTTTGTGTGTGTATGTTTGTACATATACGGTGCATGTTACTGCATATTAGGGTGGAGCAATATATTAAGGCTGGAGGCCTAAACAGTATTTATTACATGGCTAAATACTTACAAATTAAATACTTTATGATTTAGGAAAAATTTAATCAACACTATTTCGAGATTTTCGAGACTACTTCGGGATTCCCAGGACTATTTCATGATTTTGGGTCTATTTCGAAATTTTCGTTATATTTGTCGATCTTGATTCGATATATTTATCGATAAATTTAATGATTTTGCAATCGTTATATTTGTCGATATTGTTATCGGTGTTATAATAGGTATGATTATCAATATTTTTATCGATAAAATAATCGATGTTATTGTCGATATATTTATCGATATAATAATCGATGGGTGGGGTTTAGTAGCGCTCACAACTATTTCGGGCTATTCCGTCCAAAAGGGTGGCCCGATCTAAAAAAAAAATTCCACAAACTTGTAGTCAAGGGTCTACGCATTATTCTAACACTCACTTTTGTAAATTTTGGTCACTAATTTATTTACAAATTGGGTTTGAAATATGCCGTTTTTTGTAAAATTCGGAAATTAGCGTACATTTATCACTTCTATTCGCCTTAAAGCAGCCAATTCACCAATACATTTTTGTATTGCCCTTCACTTTACACTTCACTCGATTAGTTGTAACTTGCTTTACGACTTTCATATTAACCAATTAATCACAATTCATTAAATAAAAACATCTTCAAAATCACGCGTCTGACTTTGGTTGCATATTCAAATTAAATGGCGGAGTTCAGCTGTCAAACTCCAAAATATACAAAAGAGCATTAAAAGTATACAAAGGTGTTCTCTTTTCTTCGCAAAACAGAAAGGAGAATTCTACTGCCTAAGGGTTACAATCCCTAAGTGCGGCCGAAGGCCGCCTACGCAGAAAGGTGTTCTCTGCAAAAGGTGTTCAGCCCCCCTTCTTTGGCAACACAGAAAGGAGAATTCTACTGCCTGAGGGTTATAATCCCTAAGTGCGACCGAAGGAAGGAACTCTACACAAAAATACATTTGTTAAAAAGAACATTTTTTTTATAAAAACTTTTTTTTTTTCTTTTTTTAATTAACTTTTTTATTCTTTATTCAAAATCGCCCGATATCTAATTTGGCATAATTTCTTTTATTAAAAACTCCCATGGTTTCTGGGGGGTCATATTCCACTTCAAAACTGCTCAGTTTGCCTAAGAAAATTCCGTTTTTCCCCCTTTTTAAAACGGTTCCCTAGGGGCCTTTGGGAGGAGTCCAAGGGGGTGCGTACGCCTTTTTAGAAAGCGGGGACTGTCCCCTTTCTAGTGGGAATCTTTTTGTACGCGGTAGTTAGTGAAGCCAAAGTCTCATTGTACATTTGTACGCGGTGTTCCGCTAGGTGAAACTAACTAAATACTTTTTGACCAAGTATTTAGCGCTGTGATAATAACTAAATATTTACTAGCCTACTCGGCCTTTAGTAACATCCAAAATACTTAAATAAATACAGTGAAACCCCCTTGGGCGGACACTCACCGTCAGTCATTTTTTGTCCGCCCAAGAGAGGTGTCCGCTCAATGGAAGGGAAGTTATTTTAGAATTTTTTTAATTTTTTAATTAATTGAATAGTCACTATTTCTTATTTGGATAAAAGATATTGATATTACATCGTTCAAACAAAAATGTGCATGTATTTTTTCAAAAGTGCATATTACATTTATGTGCGTAAGTACATATTAAGTAATCACAAAATAAAAATAAATATTACATTTCAGTCCATAAACTACATAAAACCATAGATTCATTACATAAAAAACTGGGAAATTGTCGATTGACGTAAGTTTTATTTTTAATTTTTTTCAGTGTCAGTACCTTTGTCATCAATAGTTTTCACGTTTTTATCAGTAACAGATCCATCCACAAATCTAATTTTCGATCCATGTATTTATTATTATCTATTGTTATAAATTCATCAGAATTAGAATTGGATTCTCCAAGGGTTTCTGATAATTCAAATAACGAACCTAAACCACTGCGCAAACCCAACTAAATGTGTGCATAAAAATCTCATTTTATGCGGGAAGTCCCCCTTTTCCATTTAGTAGTCCGCCTATGAGGAGTTCGTGTCCGCTCAACGGAGGTTTTTGTTTGATTTGTTATGAAAAGAAATCTTCATGTCAATTGATAAGAGGTTCGCGTCCGCTCAATTGAGGGTTTTGTGTCAATTTTATGCAAAATAACTGTCCGCGTCCGGCCAAGAGGGTATCCGCTTAAGAGAGAGTAATTTGTTTCGAAATTTATACTTAAAACTTTGTATAGGAAAAAATGTCCGCCCAAGGGAGATGTCCGCCTAATAGAGGTGTCCGTTAGGAGAAGTTTCACTGTAGTACTTTAGTACATATTTACTAAAGCATACATAAATACCTAAATACTTAGCACTTAGTTTTTGGTAAATAAAATTTTACCCTTCACTGGTATCAAGGCATGTTCAACATGGTAGAAGTGACAATTCAGTCGAGCTCTCTCATAGCTGATTGCAATGTCAAAATATTTAAACAAAGAAATTAACCCTTTGTTATGCATTTACCATATTTGATAAAACTCAATATCTTTGAAATTACAGTTTTTGTAAATATGAAAATATTTAAAATCTTATTAGAATCAGCTTCATTTTAGTTGCTGCATTTTCGTTCTAACGTAAATGTGGAAATGCATACCTACACAAAATTACATACTCAGTGAAACACACTTATTTATAAAACCGATTTGACAATTTTTTTTTGCTATCCCAATGTTTTAGAGCACTTATTTTTTTATTCAAATACTTAATTCTAAAGTATATTAGACATTTAAAAAAAGTTCGATTCTTCTAAATTTACATCAGAACTTAACTTCAATAATTTAGCTATTAAATTTTTGCAATTCTAAATTTCCTTTACATTGAATTTATTAAAAACTACTTTCAGTTTCTTTATGTCAACAAGGATTTAAGCTTTATCAGACCACCATTTGAAATTTGGTCTATCCATGTATATGAGTGGGAGATTTTCTTTTAAGATTCGGTATGATAAATCCTGCATCTGGGAACAAACGCGTCCGCTTAGAAATACTCGGCTGCGATGGGCAAAAAATAAAGTCACGCGCATACTTGAAGAGTCTCCTAATGAAACATCGCAGCAATTTGCCCACCGTTGTCGCTTCACTGGACAATTCGGATGTTTAAAATAGGGCACAAGTTACTTGTCCTAGTTCTTGACAAACACAACGCACCGCCCGTAATTCCTTTTCATTTTATTATGTATTTATATCAGTCGTACAGCTCACAATTGAAAATTTAAATTTAAAAAAATAAAATTTTGAATAGTATAGGCATGATACAAAAAAGAAGGTAGTTTCAATAAACAACGTTTTGATTAAAAAGCAGATTTTTGACAATTGCTCAATTGTGAAAAAATTCGAAGCGGCGTTACCCAATTGTAAGTTTTTTGGTGTGGGAGATTTTATATCCTAAATTTGGGATTATAAATAAAATAGTTGTGTTAATATTTACCTTTTAAAAATTATTAATATCTTATCTTAAAAATTTTTAAATTTTACATTAAACTCGATAACAACTTGCCAAATCATTATCATGAACATATTTTAGAAATTTTTTAGTGTCCTCATGTCATCTGATTATTTCACAATGTAGTTTTCTATATCGAATACGATGTGCTATTTAATATATATTCAGGCAGGTTCTGCAATTCACTTCCGAGTGAATTTGAACCAAATTCACTTTGAATCCGACATTTGGTGTTCTGTGTTTCACTTTCCGAGTTTCATTTCCACATTTTTTTCCAAAATGAATTCCGAGTGAATTTGGATGTTCTGATAAACGAATCCGCGAAAAAATCTTCGGATTTCATTCACTTCGTTTCAAGTTTGTGGATTTTATGCATACACACAAATTTTAAATTAGCGGTTGTGATCGTGACGAAATGTGAGTAAATTTTAAATTATTATTGAAATACATTAATATTAAAACTAATAAGAATAAAAGAGTAACAAATTTTACACAAATTAAATGTTTAAGGGGAAAACAGAAGAATGCGCAACAGGTTACAATCCTTCTCCAATTCATGGAGAATCATCGGGATATCGCTCGAGGCTTCGTGAAAGGTGACAAAGCCAAAGTAGATGCACTCTGGAAGGAGCTGGTAGAAGATTTGAATGCCCACGGCCCACCGCANGTTTCAACCATTTAGCTCAAATACATAGAGAATCATTTTCTTCAAAAGTTACAACACTTACGATCATTGCATTGATACTAAAATAACCTTTTCGGTTATAAAAAAGACTGTGATCTTTATGTGGCTTTGTTATTTGTATATGCGTTCCGTCTATACATCCAATAACGTCCGGAATGACAAATTTTTGCTGGAAATGTTGTTTCGATTTAGCCAGCTCATTTTCCGTCATATTTAATTTAATCCAATGTGGACAGAAATACCTTTCTAAAATTTTGAGCAGTCGTTTTGTTACTTTAGCCACCGTACTTCGCCCCATTGCAATGTAGCTATCTTTTCCCACTGCTTTCTGAAAACCGCCTTCAGCTAAGAATCTCAAAGTAGCTGCCAGTTGCAGTTGCGTTGGAATGGATGTGCCTTTTATGTGAGGGTCAACAACGTTCAACAGCATAATAAAGGCATCTTTGTTGACTCTGTAGTTGGACACGAAACTACGAAATTGGTTGAACATTTGAACTTCTTGCAAATATTACATACTTACACCGATTCAGGAACCTCTAATGGATTGGAATGATTCCGCAGTATTCTTCTATTAAGGGCTTCTTCTGCATGCTCCTCAGTTTCCATAAATATGGTAGCAAACGCAATTAAAGCACTCATTTTTCGTTTTTCATTTAAATCTTTGTTATTTATTTGTGTTTAATTGACAACTTTGCTTGCTAAAAGTTTGTTAGATTGTGTCAAATTGGCAGATGTCAGATGTAAAGTTCATTATTAGGGTGAATGCAATCCGAGTGCGAAAATGAACAAATATTTCGTTTTCCAGAACACCAAAATTAAATTCACTCGGATTTGGATTCATTTCCAAATTCACTTTCACTCGGATTTCAGAACCTACCTGATTGTCTTTTTCCATTTAACAGCAAATGGAATTTACTTTGGGACCCATGGGCCGTGAAATTTCTCCAGCAACACATATTGTTTTCACATGAAATTTTGACACACCCAAAAGTGAAGTATAAAATAAATAGATAAAAACAAATTTTCAATCAAACTGATTTGTGTAGTTCAGGGGCGTCTTTTGGCAAATATTGTGGAGGCTGTTTTAATATATGCTATCTTATTATATATTTCTTAGCTTTTCTACATTCTGAGAAGTTGAGAGAATGAAGTCTAATGTTCTTTTTTGGTTGAAAGTTTGGACACAAATTTTCCAAGAATGGTTATAGGCTAAAACAAAACGGATATCTAAAGCGGGTGTGGAACCTCCCATACAAATCGAATTTTTCATAGTGCATATCTCTGGAAGTATTTATGGTAGAGTCCTGGAACTTGGTATGGATATATGTATGTATATGAACTCAATCTCAAGCTCATGGAAAAATATGGGTTTATTGGAAATTGCAGCGTGCCACCGTAGAACTTGGAATAGAGGTAAATGAAATCAGTCCCAAATTTATGAAAAATGGGGGTATATGAAAACGATCTCGTAGCCAGCTACGAGAGCTAGCGGTATAAGTAGTGTGACCACTTTTCCAAAAACTCATTTACGTACACAAAAGATTGTAGCAACACAAAATTTTAAAGAAAAATTTTGGAAACGATTTTATTGCTGTTTATTAGTCGATATCCAAACACATTTTTGACGTACAAACTTCAGCCTATTTATTTGCGAATTGAGAAATATTTAGGTACATACATACTTTCAAAGGTGAAATAATGCAATTGCTGCTAAATTACAAAAGTGTTGGCCTATGTAATCAATTCATTGATCTTGAGTAGTTTTCCTGAACGCGTATTTTCCATTTGATGCAATTTCTTTCAACATTTGAGGCTGCTTCTTTACGAATTCGAAAAACTCCGTACAAGTCATTTTAATGTTGTACCGAACAAACAAAAGATCTTGCAATGTCTCGATTTTCAGTTGTGATTTCTCATCGCTCCAAATCTGATTGATCAAAGAAAATACGCGTTCAATACGCCCACTTTTAATTTTTGTTTTATCTCAACGGCCGCTATACCGCACTTATGCCTTAAAACGAGTCTACGATACTAATGAGTTTAATATTCAAAGAGTCAAATGAGTTAGTTGATTGAACTGACTCCCTAAAGTGAGTTGGAGTCATTGAGTCAACTCCTATAAATTTGCTGAGTTACCCACCCTTAACGGACACAAGAAAAACACAAATAAAGTATTCAGCAGACAGCGTTGCCAGTGTTGGGGATTTTATCGTCATTTTGACGAGTTTTTAATGAGGTGTTTACACTTTTCCATCAACTGAATCATTATATTTTTAATTTTTATTAGTCAAAATTTGCATGTAGATTCGATTTACGTACATTTTCGTGATTTTGTGGTTAGCTTCGGTACACGGTACATGGCTACAAATTTACGTACTGTACGTGTCATTTACGTACAGTTGGTCACACAAGGTATAAGCCATATAAACTAAAATTCTGGTGACGCATAGATACCTCTGGAAGCATTTACATAGAATACTGAGATGAGAAAACCGGGCGCGACACCTTCTGGAAAGTAACATAATCACCTGGTGTATCCCTGGAACCATGTTAAGCTAAACCTTGAGGGATTACATTCTTGCCAAGACCGACAGGCATAAGCTGAAATTGCGTCGCAAGTTTTACGATCGGCTTGGGTAAGGTTTAACCACTTAACCCCCCTTTGTTTTCGCCGCTACTGAATTCTATAAACTGTCAGCTTTCACACAATTTAAAATATACACGTGTATTTAAAAATGTCATGAAAATTGTGTTGCTAGCTTCATGTTGCAAAAGTGTTGCAAGCTTTTTCACAGCGTGAACGGAATACTACTTTGCCAAGGAAATGTTATGGAATTTCACACTTATTTCACAGAAACAAATTTTATATGCACTTTAACAGGTTTTCATGTGAAACAGGAATAAAATACTATGCTTAAGAACAAAGTTTTTTAAATCAACAAAAAATTAATAAGAAAATTTGAAGGATTTTACATATTGGGTATGGTAGCACGAAAAGTCACAATCTGCTTAATTGTCAGGTTGTTAATATGGCGACGAAAAAGTGAGAATGGAACTACCTTGTGTTTTGTATTATGAGTATAGGAGTTGACATTTANCACTTTTCCATCAACTGAATCATTATATTTTTAATTTTTATTAGTCAAAATTTGCATGTAGATTCGATTTACGTACATTTTCGTGATTTTGTGGTTAGCTTCGGTACACGGTACATGGCTACAAATTTACGTACTGTACGTGTCATTTACGTACAGTTGGTCACACAAGGTATAAGCCATATAAACTAAAATTCTGGTGACGCATAGATACCTCTGGAAGCATTTACATAGAATACTGAGATGAGAAAACCGGGCGCGACACCTTCTGGAAAGTAACATAATCACCTGGTGTATCCCTGGAACCATGTTAAGCTAAACCTTGAGGGATTACATTCTTGCCAAGACCGACAGGCATAAGCTGAAATTGCGTCGCAAGTTTTACGATCGGCTTGGGTAAGGTTTAACCACTTAACCCCCCTTTGTTTTCGCCGCTACTGAATTCTATAAACTGTCAGCTTTCACACAATTTAAAATATACACGTGTATTTAAAAATGTCATGAAAATTGTGTTGCTAGCTTCATGTTGCAAAAGTGTTGCAAGCTTTTTCACAGCGTGAACGGAATACTACTTTGCCAAGGAAATGTTATGGAATTTCACACTTATTTCACAGAAACAAATTTTATATGCACTTTAACAGGTTTTCATGTGAAACAGGAATAAAATACTATGCTTAAGAACAAAGTTTTTTAAATCAACAAAAAATTAATAAGAAAATTTGAAGGATTTTACATATTGGGTATGGTAGCACGAAAAGTCACAATCTGCTTAATTGTCAGGTTGTTAATATGGCGACGAAAAAGTGAGAATGGAACTACCTTGTGTTTTGTATTATGAGTATAGGAGTTGACATTTAAGTCGCAGTTCAAAAGAGAGAAATGTCGAAATCACTTCTACCTTGTTATGCCTAGACTGGTATTAATAATGTNCAGCGTTGCCAGTGTTGGGGATTTTATCGTCATTTTGACGAGTTTTTAATGAGGTGTTTACACTTTTCCATCAACTGAATCATTATATTTTTAATTTTTATTAGTCAAAATTTGCATGTAGATTCGATTTACGTACATTTTCGTGATTTTGTGGTTAGCTTCGGTACACGGTACATGGCTACAAATTTACGTACTGTACGTGTCATTTACGTACAGTTGGTCACACAAGGTATAAGCCATATAAACTAAAATTCTGGTGACGCATAGATACCTCTGGAAGCATTTACATAGAATACTGAGATGAGAAAACCGGGCGCGACACCTTCTGGAAAGTAACATAATCACCTGGTGTATCCCTGGAACCATGTTAAGCTAAACCTTGAGGGATTACATTCTTGCCAAGACCGACAGGCATAAGCTGAAATTGCGTCGCAAGTTTTACGATCGGCTTGGGTAAGGTTTAACCACTTAACCCCCCTTTGTTTTCGCCGCTACTGAATTCTATAAACTGTCAGCTTTCACACAATTTAAAATATACACGTGTATTTAAAAATGTCATGAAAATTGTGTTGCTAGCTTCATGTTGCAAAAGTGTTGCAAGCTTTTTCACAGCGTGAACGGAATACTACTTTGCCAAGGAAATGTTATGGAATTTCACACTTATTTCACAGAAACAAATTTTATATGCACTTTAACAGGTTTTCATGTGAAACAGGAATAAAATACTATGCTTAAGAACAAAGTTTTTTAAATCAACAAAAAATTAATAAGAAAATTTGAAGGATTTTACATATTGGGTATGGTAGCACGAAAAGTCACAATCTGCTTAATTGTCAGGTTGTTAATATGGTCAGGTTTTTGCCCATATGGGCAAGCGAGCCCATTTCGCGGGCTAGATCAGGGGAAAATCATGGGCAAACGGGAAGGGGGCAACAAATCTTACTAATACACGTATAGCAATGTGAGCCACTGCACACGTATTCTGGAGTAAAAAGGCTCACTCTCCCAAACGTACGCCACATACACCCCTCGCNTTTAAAATATACACGTGTATTTAAAAATGTCATGAAAATTGTGTTGCTAGCTTCATGTTGCAAAAGTGTTGCAAGCTTTTTCACAGCGTGAACGGAATACTACTTTGCCAAGGAAATGTTATGGAATTTCACACTTATTTCACAGAAACAAATTTTATATGCACTTTAACAGGTTTTCATGTGAAACAGGAATAAAATACTATGCTTAAGAACAAAGTTTTTTAAATCAACAAAAAATTAATAAGAAAATTTGAAGGATTTTACATATTGGGTATGGTAGCACGAAAAGTCACAATCTGCTTAATTGTCAGGTTGTTAATATGGTCAGGNAGACGCATAAAAAACTTCAGCGTCAAATACTCTTAACATACTTCGCCAAAGTTTTTTATAAGCATCTTTTTTTGCAAAATTTTTTTAAACGCTTTTTTTCACCGTCAAAACACCAGCGCGCTTTTATTCGTATGTAAAGACGATATTTTTACAAAAAATTTATATTAAATAAACAAACGGAAAACTGTTAATACTAAGAATTGAAAGGGTGTGCAATTCAAATGACGAGGAGTGTATATGAGCAGATGTAATCACTACCACAACTAAACGCGAGCTGAAAGCGTGATTGTGTTAGTGTGCCAATTACGTTTGAATGAATTTGCCTTCGCTTTGTTACGCTCTCGCATGTATTTGCATGCAGTGATGCCAGATTGTGGGTAATTTCCCTATTTGAGGGATATTTTGCAACAAAAATTATAAAAAGGGAAAAAACGGACATTTGAAATAAATAAGGGATTTTATTTTGATGCAGTTATTGTTGCATAATTGATCCAAATTTAAGAATATTCGACATTCTTACGTAATTAATCTTTCTAAAGATGTGATGTGGAATGAACTGGTATATAATTGTTAAAAAGTATAAGGACAATTTCGAAAATTTTCTTACGTTAACTAATTCAAGCGCTGAGTAAGAAAGAATCTTTTCAGTTGTAACTGTTGTTCATGTAAAAAGCGGAACAAATTATCTGATGAAATGTTAAATAGCATATGAATGTGCTTCAGTTTTTAAGTCACCAAAAAATTCTTCTGGGCACTTAATGAGTGAGCAAAAAAATGAAAGTGAAAAAATGAATGAGTGAGAAAAATGCAGAAAAAGGGGTTTTTTCTTAACAGCGGTCGGCCTCCGGCAGGCAATGGCAAACCTCCGAGTGTATTCCTGCCATGAAAAACAGCTTCTCATAAAAATACACTCGCCATTCGGAGTCGGCGTAAAACTGTACGTCCCTCCCCTTTGTGTGACAACAACAAGGGGCACGCCACAAATTGGAGGAGAAGCACATATGTGTAAGCGCCAATTATTATTATTATTATTTTAATGAATTTTACTTCTTTACTACTGAAACATGTATATGTTTAAATTCGTTGGGAATTTTGTGGGATA